ATAAAATAGTCAAATTGTTTAAAATAAATAAAATAGTCAAATTGTTTAAAATAAATAAAATAGTCAAATGTTTAAAATAAATAAAAATAGTCAAATTATTAAAATAATAAAATAGTCAATTGTTTAAAATAAATAAAATAGTCAAAATTGTTCAAAATAAATAAAATAGTCAAATTGTTCAAAATAAATAAAATAGTCAAATTGTTTAAAATCAATAAATAGTCAAATTGTTTAAAATAAATAAAATAGTCAAATTGTTTAAATTAAATAAATAGTCAAATTGTTTAAATTAAATAAATAGTCAAATTGTTTAAATTAAATAAATAGTCAAATTGTTTAAATTAAATAAATAGTCAAATTGTTTAAATTAAATAAATAGTCAAATTGTTTAAATTAAATAAATAGTCAAATTGTTTAAAATAAATAAATAGTCAAATTGTTTAAAATAAATAAATAGTCAAATTGTTTAAAATAAATAAATAGTCAAATTGTTTAAAATAAATAAATAGTCAAATTGTTTAAAATCAATAAATAGTCAAATTGTTTAAAATAAATAAAATAGTCAAATTGTTTAAAATAAATAAAATAGTCAAATTGTTTAAAATGAATAAATAGTCAAATTGTTTAAAATAAATAAATAGTCAAATTGTTTAAAATAAATAAAATAGTAAAATTGTTAAAAATAAATAAAATAGTCAAATTGTTAAATAAATAAAATAGTCAAATTGTTTAAAATAAATAAAATAGTCAAATTGTTTAAAATAAATAAAATAGTCAAATTGTTTAAATAAAATAAAATAGTCAATTGTTTAAAATAAATAAAATAGTCAAATAGTTAAAATAAATAAAATAGTCAATAGTTAAAATAAATAAAATAGTCAAATCGTTTTAAATAAATAAAATAGTCAAATTGTTTAAAATAAATAAAATAGTCAAAATTGTTTAAAATAAAAAAAATAGTCAAATTGTTTAAATAAATAAAATAGTCAAATTGTTTAAAATAAATAAAATAGTCAAATTGTTTAAAATAAATAAAATAGTCAAATTGTTCAAAATAAATAAAATAGTCAAATTGTTCAAATAAATAAAATAGTCAATTGTTTAAAATAAATAAAATAGTCAAATTGTTTAAAATAAATAAAATAGTCAAATTGTTTAAAATAAATAAAATAGTCAAATTGTTCAAAATAAATAAAATAGTCAAATTGTTAAAATAAATAAATAGTCAAATTGTTTAAAATAAATAAAATAGTCAAATTTTTTAAAATAAATAAAATAGTCAAATTGTTAAAATAAATAAAATAGTCAAATTGTTTAAAATAAATAAAATAGTCAATTGTTTAAAATAAAAAAATAGTCAATTGTTTAAAAAAATTGAAAATAGTCAAATTATTTAAAAAGTGTCAAAAAATTCTAAAATAAAATCTCTCAATTTATACTGCATTAAAACATTTTAAAATTAATTGACAGTAAGATTGATAGTTGCAAACTTTCTTCGAATTACATGTTGGGGTTTTATTTGGGGCCTCACGTGTTAAAAAAAGTCTGCGAGGAAGGATATGTGTAATTCCTACTCGAAGAACTTTTGCTCGTTAAGAGAAATAGAATTATGGCTAGCAAAATAAAACATCGAACCAGATGTTAAAAAATCACAACATCTTAAAGAAACCACACAAGGCCTTATACTTGAATGACAAATCTAATAATGCATATAGATAGTGAACTAAATTGGAAAATGCACATAATAATGAAAAAGGAATAAATGATTTAAAACTGAAGGTCCTGAACTGTCTCATAGGAAGATTGTGCAAACTTTCATTACAAAATAAGCTTCTCGAAGATAATTCCAATGGGATGCAGCTATGGGGCTACACCAGCACGAGCAATATTCTCATAATTTAGGGAGCCCAAAACAAAAATACTGGGTGTGATTTGCAACACTCGATGGTTTATATAATCCATCAAGGACCTAAAAATTTCCAATAGAAGTCATTAAAGCAGACGGTTGATTCTTCGAGAGGAATTGAATGTATATGTCAATCCCAGTCAGTCGAAAAACTAAAGGGCCGAAGAGAAAATGGCTCAGTGATCAGAAGCTTAAATTTTCAATACAAATTGGATGCATATGTCAATTAGTCGAAAAACAAAAAGGCCTGAAGAGAAAATAACCTAGTGAATTATCATCCACAACATAATTCATCAAGTTATTATAATTACAATTTACTCATTTATTTCATTCCATTTCTTATCCTAAGGTTCCTGAACATTTTGGCATACTTTGGAAAAAATTATGTATGTGTTGTGTGTATGTATCAAAAATGTTAATGTTTGAAAAAAAATAATTTTTGGTACGGGAAGTTCCAGCAATTTGTCTTAAGGCACGATGCTCTGCGCCCCACTAGTTTTATTTTGATTTTCAACATCTTCACTTGTAACTTATAGGTTATGTTGTAAGAATTTAAACTATAAGTATATAGGTAACCGATAAGTATATGTATAACCTATAAGTATAAAAAAAGATCTAAATTGGAAATCGATGCATTAAAATTAAATTGCAACTAAATCACAATAAAAAATCAGCACGAGCCTGTAAAACCGCGTGGTAATAAAATCATCAAAAATTTTGAGAAATCGACAATGGAACCTTTCAAAATGGCAAGAATATAATACAAATGTACACTGAATATCTATTACCCTACACAATATAATAATATGATCTATTACCATACCTTTCAATTATAACTCGATCCACCGCTAATGACTCCCAAGGGGGCTCCAGTTATCTTGCATCAAGATTGCACAAACCGTGTGTCACATTAAAAGCGACCAAACGCGAAATATTTCTTGCACAACTAACTAGCTACATTATTTCTAAAGTACTCACTTCTTGAACAGGTTTTCTTTTTATGGCCATGTGTTTCCAATGGAGTCCCGAAAGAAAAAGACTCAGACGCCTTCAACACACGGCTCTAAACACCGGATTAATAAAGTGCTGAAACGAAAAAATCACGGTACCAACATTCAAACAATCAGAAATTCTTCTGAGCAGGCATACCAACAGCAGAGCATTCATATATGTCAAAACATTTGTCGCAACTGTCGAAACTTAACCTCAATTTCTTATTTTGATGTTTAGTAATAATTTTTCATTTAGTCAGAAATTTGTTGCAATATTGGATTTTTGTTATGTTATGGTAGATTTTTTCGAAACTTTGGTCATGTCAAGATCAGAACAACCGTCGCCACAACACTTATTCAATGTTATTCAATCTTTGTTTTGTGGTTTAATATGAATTGAAGAACACTGGTAAACGTGAACTATTTTGTATGCACAAATTTGCTTGATCACAAAAATGTATAATTATGTAAGCCAAATACTGCTACATTTAAAATCTTTCATATTTATTATATCAAGACTATGTGTATGATACAATACCAAGGTTTCTTATATCTGTTCCATACTAGTGTGCAATATAATTGTTGAAAACTTCAAATATTGTTGACTACAATTTATTGAATTTTAGAACACAATCTTTATTATCAGAATAAGTGCCTTATTCAAATCCAGGACTGTTCCAGTTTTTAACAGTAGTTTAAACTGTAGTATGCAACATTGAATAACTGAAAACTTTTAGATCACATAATTTTGCTACTCAAACAAAGCTATTTTTTAAAAAAAAGATAAAGCATAATTGTGATAATATTTTTTATTGAATGTGAATTAAATATTTACCGTTATTTACAATAAATAGTTAATGAGTTAAAATCTATTTACACAATGTTAATATGAATGGGTAAAGCATGGCGTGAAAAAAAATAAGAACAAATTGTACCACATACCAGTATAACACACAACCACATACCAGTCAAACATAATTCTTTATGATTCAAAACTTATTATTATTAATGTTATAATAAATAAATCAAATATTCACAATTTAGAACCTATCACTATAAAATGTAATAATAAATAAATTATATTTACAATTAAAAACCTATTACCATAATGTAATAATAAATAAAAAATACATCGACAATTCAAAACATATTACCCTAATGTAACAATGAATATCATATTTACAATTTAAAACCTATTACCGTAAAGTAACAATAAATAAATCATATTGACAATTCAAAACCTATTACCATAATGTAACAATAAATATCATATTTATAATTTAAAACCTATTACCGTAAAGTAACAATAAATAAATCATATTGACAATTCAAAACCGATTGCCATAATATGAAAAGAAATATGTATGATCATAATTTAAAACTTATCTCCACAATATAGCTGTTAATAAATGTTATTCACATTAGAAATTTGAAAGATAGAATTGAAATGATAATATAAACAAATGAAACCAAATACTACCATAAATTGTGAGAGAAGAAGTTTATTACATCATTAGATACACAGAATGCATGTATGTATGTATTATGATGTGCTGTGAATTATTAGAAGCTCTTTTATTTTTGCCATTCTGATCTAATATTGTGAATGTATGTATGTATTATGATGTGCGGTGTATTATTAAAAGCTCTTTTATTTTTACCATTCTGATCTATTATTGTTAATGCAAGTGTGTATTATGATATGCTGTGTACTACTAGAAGCTCTTTTATTTTAGCGATTTTAGCTATCCATGCTTCATGATTGTTTATACTCATAATCTTCCTTATTCGTTTTAATGCTTTGCGAGTAATTATATACAGACTACAGTATTTCTTTAAAATAATTTTACTTATATATCTCTTAAACAAGTTCTTGTTAATTAATATTCATATTAGCATTACAAATTCAAAAGTTAGAGCTTGTGTCACAAAAATAAAATATGTGAAAATCAGCTAATATTAAATGAGAATCAATAATCAAATATATTACAAACGCGTGAGTCTGTTAGCAAAAAACGAAGTTGTAAATGAACTTGGAAGCATCTATTTAATAACTAAAGAGCATTAGTGAGAGTAAGAATTAAAATTAAAATAATGAAGCCGATAATGAGACTTGATGTTTATGCATATGCCAGTATTTCAAAATGATATTAAATATTTATGATATAAAATTTTTACCAGTTAGAATTCACAACATGCCTTTCCGATTTTTTTGGATGCCCTTGAAATTTTGCCTTTTTTCTTTTTATAATTTTGTTCCCATCTATAATTTTGTATCCAGACTTATCTATTACATATCGAGTAATATCTCTCCGCTCAATTTTATTTTTCCATGATTGAAAATCTACATAAGAATACCAAATAAAAGAAAAGTGCATTGACATAGTTTATAATCGAAAATGAACAAACGATTAAAAGAAGAAAATGTCATGCTCGATATGGATGGTGTGATCAACCTCAATATGTTGTTGTAAGCCATTGTATCTGCAAAACACCCTTTGACAATTGTCAAGGGGGCACAAGATTCTAGATTTCCTTGAACTGTTTGTTTTTCATACAAACAGGTTTTACTATTCGTAATATCCGTAGATTATGTAAACATAATGAAACCTTAAAATAGTGAATAAGCAAAGCTATATACCGTAAACAATGAATGAAATTAAAAGAATAACCTAACCTAAGTGCAAATCAGCAAAAAGTGAATAAAAGTAAGCTTATAACTAAAGTGATATACCCTAAAATGAGGAAGTTAAGTCATACCCTAAGATTCGAAAACATGTAATGAAATAAAACACGAATAAAGAATAAAAAATGCGAGATGAACGAGCTACACAATAAGCACATTCGTAACAGCGAATCCAACATAAAAAAGTTGAAACCACAGTGCAAAAGATTTGACAATTCTGTAATGCGTTATAGCAAACTTCAGACAGCTTTCTCAGCACAATATTATCCGGTGTTTAGAAACTCTTTCTACAGTTTGTCTCTATGGTGGCAACTATCTTGCAACACTGTGTTGAACTAACAAAGTGTCAAACAAAATATTTTAGAAATTGTTTTTGGGGCATTTTATTTCGTATTTATTTGCTCATTACAAATAGCTGTGGACTAAAGGCAATAATGAATACAATATATATAAATAAAAGTGTACACGTGTTGAAGTACTTGTGATTGCTGGGATTTATTCAGGTAAAATATTTGAGGTTATGTCACATTGAAGTTCCACGATTTGTTCAATATAAAGAATAAAGGATATAAAATAAAAGCTATATATATATATATATATATATATATATATATGTATATGTATTTGACTTTTATTTTATATATATATATATATATATACAGGGTGCTTCAAATAAATGTATACACACTTTGAACTTCCATAGACAATTCATTTACCCTTCTATAAAGTTAAATTTCGACAAAATAGAAAGCTGAAAGTCCAATGTAAATGAAACATAAATAACAAATATTAATACTGTTCAAATTGGTGACCTGCAGCATCAATACAATTCTGAGTACGAGTCACCACTGATTCTGTACATAACACGGTTGCAATTTTGTGAATAGATTCAGAAGATGGTGAAACGTGAACAGGGATTTATCGGTAGCATTATTTAGCCCCGCACTATCACAGGGTTACTTGTACAATTATTACGAGCTTACCTGGATCAAAATTTGTCGGGCTAGTGGATAGGACGCAGGGGGCCAATCGAGTTTCCATTGGACGTTTTGATATGATGTACAGAATCATGGTGACTCGTACTCAGAATTGTATTGATGCTGCAGGTCACCAATTTGAGATGTATTAACATTTGTTATTTGTTTCATTTACATAGGACTTTCAGCTTTCTATTTTTCTGAAATTGAACTTTGTAGAACGGTAAATGAATTTTTTATGGAAGTACAGAGTGTGGATACATTTTTTTGAAGCATCCTGTATATATATATATATATATATATATATATATATATATATGATAAAATTGTTTCTTGGGCATCCATCCAGTAATTAAAAAACAGTTTTATTGAAAAATGTTTTTATTTAGAGAACTTACGTTTCGGGTCTTGATTTGACCCATCTTCAGTGCTACAATTAAATAATTCAGGGTTACAAATTAAAACAATATAAAAGATACATAATTACAGACAAAAATAAGTAAAACCAATGTATATGAAAAGTATATATGAAAAACAACCATAAAATAAACAAATGTAAAGAAACTCACCATGCACAAAAATTTTGAAAATTATTATATAATTATAAATAAATTATTTGTATAGTGAGTTTCTTTACATTTGTTTATTTTATGGTTGTTTTTCATATATACTTTTCATATACATTGGTTTTACTTATTTTTGTCTGTAATTATGTATTTTTTATATTGTTTTCGATTGTAACCCTGAAATATTTAATTATAGCACTGAAGATGGTTCAAATCAAGACCCGAAACGTATGTTCTCTGAATAAAAACATTTTCCCTTCAATAAAACTGTTTTTAATTACTGGATGGATGTCTAAGAAACAATGTTACCATATATTTCACCATCTGAAAAAAAACCTCTCACTTTATATATATATATATATATATATATATATATATATATATAATGTTAAATATGAACAATACAACACTCAGATTTTCAACACACACTTTATTTAATAATTACAGACGTTTCGAGACCATGGTATGCCTAATCTTCAGTGTAATTTTAAAAACAGTTGCTTATATACTACACATTCTTTAATATTTTATTTAAATTATGTACATTTAATTTTTGAAAATACAAAAAACACCAACTATCACTTGCAAAGCTTGACAAAGTACTAAAACATGTGAAACATACAGAAATATTTTAAACAAATCTTAAGTATTGAGATGAAAAGACAGAATGGGTATTATCTTCATCTCGATACTTAAGATTTGTTTAAAATACTTCTATATCTATTCACATATTTTAGTACTGTGTCAAGCTCTGCAAAAGATGGTTAATGTTTTTTGCATTTTCAAAAATTAAATGTAATTTAAATAAAATATTAAAGAATGTGTAGTATATATGTAACTGTCTTTGAAATTACACTGAAGATTAGGCATACCATGGTCTCAAAACCTCTGTAATTACCAAATAAAGTGTGTGTTAAAAATCTGAGTGTTGTATTGTTCATATTTAACATTATATATATATATATATATATATATATATATATATATTATGATTCTGAATTTGATGTTGACATAACATCAATAAAAAACATGAATTTCTTTCAAAAATTTATTTTAAATCCATACGTTTCGGCTATAATCCTAACCTTCATTCAGTGGAAACTAAAAATAAAATTAAAAACTAAAACATTTGAATTGCAGTGAAAAGAAAAATAAAATAGTAATTAGTACTTACGATTAGTAGATCTTAGTGTTAAATTGGAAAATTTTAATAATCCATGGTATCAGGATATGGTAATGCACTACACTATGTATTACAAACATTAAACTTGTAATTACAAAATATTTTCACAAAATACTAATTTAAAAGATCACAATTGGATAGTGTGTTGTTCGTAGACTGGTTGAAGATATAATGGAGAGAGGACTTTTTTAAAAAATATTTTTTACCAAGATTCTACACATGTATGGAACGAATTGCGAATACTTTGCGCGTCGTTTTTATTGTTTTGTGAGAAATTTGGAAATACTATCTAAATAAAAGATTTGTGTCGCACAGCGTGTTAAGTTCATTCCGTTTATTTTTCTTACTATAAATAGTTAAAAAAAGATCCTTCTATAATTCTTAGTTTGAATAAATTTTGTTCGAATTGTAGTACAGTCGGGTTAGAAAAGTTCATATTGTGTTTTAAAGTATTAATATGCTCCGCAATCATAGTTTTAAATTGTCTCGGATTTTTTAAATTGTTTTTATGTTGTTATAAACGTTTAATTAAGTTCTGGCTTGTTTCTCCTATGTAAATTAAATTACATTCTAGACAATTAATTTGATAGACGAGATTTCTAAGTCGTTCGATATTAAAAGGGGTTTTTATTTTGGTAAAAATAGTACTAGTCGTTGTCCACACATGTGTAGAACTTTGGTAAAAAATATTTTTTAAAAAGTCCTTTCTCCATTATATCTTCAACTAGTGTACGAACAACACACTATCCAATTGTGATTTTTTAAATTAGTATTTTGTGAAAATATTGCGTAATTACAAGTTTAATGTTTATAATACATAGTGTAGTGCATTACCATATCCTGATACCATGGATTATTAAAATCTTCCAATTTAACACTAAGATTAACAAATTGTAAGTACTATTTACTCCTTTTATTTTTTCTTTTCACTTCAATTCAATTGTTTTAGTTTTTAATTTTATTTTTAGTTTCCACTGAATGAAGGCTAGGATTACAGCCGAAACGTATGGATTTAAAATAAATTTTTGAAAGAAATTCATGTTTTTTATTGATGTTATGCCCGATTACTAGACATTTTTATATATATATATATATATATATATATATATATATATATATATATATATATATATATATATATATATATATGATAGTTTTGTCGACGTTGATACATATTTGTAACATTTTTGCAGCCCAACCGTCGAATTAAAAAAAGATTAAATAACAAAATTATTTATTCCATTAAACGTTTCGACACTTGATGTGTGTCATCATTCAGTAATCTAAAAAAATATATAACATAAATACACAGTTGATGATAAATATAAATATATAAAAGGAGGGAATTATACATACCAAACCAGGAAAAACAGGGAGTTTTTGATTTAAAAGAACAAAAAAGGCACTACACGTGCGTGTCCACACTGCGTTGTACTTTTAACCTTGAACAGTGCCCACAATGCATTGCTACCAATAACATTAAATATAGGAGGGCAATATGTGCTCCTTCTATTTCTTGTTTGTCAATATAATAGTATATTATTATTTTACACAAATTTAGTGTTCAATCAATTTTACATCATAATTGTTTTCTGTTGTTTTTCCTGGTTTGGTATGTATAATTTCCTCCTTTTATATATTTATATTTATCATCAACTGTGTATTTACGTTATGTTTTTTTAGATTACTGAATGATGACACACATCAAGTGTCGAAACGTTTAATGGAATAAGTAATTTTGTTATTTAATCATTTTTTAATTCGACAGTTGGGCTGCAAAAATAATACATATATATATATATATATATGTATATATATATATATATATATATATGTATATATATATATATATATATAATTATTAGCATTAGCAATTCTTTATTCGTTCTATGCCAATTTAAGTCCATTATTTATAGGTGCAAATATCTCAGAATGTCAGTCCCAGAAGTTAAAATCGAACCCCAAGAATTTTCAATTAAAGACATTGAATTTGAAATAAAAGAAGAAATTGAATGTGAACTATGTAATGAATCATTTACTGGGCAGCATGATTTAGAACAGCATATGCTCGAACATTATCATAGTTGTACCTTTTGTTCCGATACTTTTCCAGATTCAAGCGCCTTAGAAATACATCTGAAAATACATGCAGATGTCAAGCCTTTTGTGTGCACAATTTGCAATGAAGCATTTGCTGTAAAATTGGATTTTGATCAACACGTTTGTAATGGAGAAAAAACTTTAACGTTGAGTGAATCTGAAAGTCTGCTATGCAAAATATGTGGTCGGACATACAAATTTATGAGTGAAATGAAAAAACACATGCTAACACACTCTGAGGAACGTCCCCACAAATGCGAATTATGCAACAAGGCATTCAAAGAAGTGAGAATTTTGAAAACCCACAAACTCATTCACAGTGGCGTGCGTCCTCATAAATGCGATTTATGCGATGAGACATTCACATTACCGCATAACCTGAACCGACATATGCTTGTTCACACCGGTGAACGACCTCATGCTTGTGCAGTATGCGATAAGAAATTCACACAAGCGGGTAGTTTGAAAACCCATATGCTCATTCATAGTGGCAAACGGCCCCACAAGTGTACAGTATGCGAAAAGACATTTAACCATGTGGGTACTTTGAATAAACACAAGCTTCTTCACAGTCGTGAACGACTGCATAAGTGTGAAGTTTGCAGTAAGAAATTCACACTAACAAGCGACTTGAATAGACATATGCTCATTCACGGTAAGGTACATGAATGTGAAACATGCAACAAGACATTCACACAAAAGCGACTATTGAATCAACATAAGCTCGTTCATGCTGAGGAAATAATGCATAAATGCATAATGTGCGATAAGGCATTCACACTAAAGAGTCAATTGAAACAACATATGCTCATTCACAGCGGGGCCGGATCCCATAAGTGTACATAGGACATTCACACACTCAAGTGTCCTTAAAAGGCACATCATTTTGCACAACAAAAAGTAATTACAGTAGAAGTCTTGTATCGAAAATTCCGGACCATCGGGCGGTAATTATAAATTGTCAATTGAAACAACATATGCTCATTCACAGTGGGGTTAAATCCCATAAGTGTACATAGGACATTCACACACTCAAGTGTCCTCAAAAGGCACATCATTTTGCACAACAAAAAGTAATTGCAGTAGAAGTCTTGTATCGAAAATTCCGGACCATCGGGCGGTAATTATAAATTGTCAATTGAAACAACATATGCTCATTCACAGTGGGGTTAATAATTAAACTGCTTATATTCACGATCATATTTTGATGCACTTTTTAGCCGTTCCTCTGGCAAGTTTTTCTTTCCAGTAATGATACATTCCCTAATTTCCTAATTCCTTTTCCCTAATTTCAATGGCAGGGACTGATTTAGATGATTTAGATGATAGATCCCATAAGTGTACAGTTTGTGATATTATTCACACACTTAAGCGCCCTCAAAAGGCACATCATTTTGCATAACAAAAAGTAATTACAGTAGAAGTCTTGTATCGAAAATTCCGGACTATCGGGCGGTATTATATAAAAGTTATTAAAAAATAACTTATTAAATTTACAAGTTTGTAGTACAAACGGTGCGTCCTGAAGAGCTCCTCGAAAATCATTATTCTAACAAAGAGTATAATACAAGTTTTATACTTCTAGTGTGAAAAGAGTTTTATTCCTTCGACTATTAAGCTTATCACCTTGATTTTCAACAGTTGTACCTTTAATTTTTGTTTTTCAAATAATTTCTGAAGACAAAAAAACTAAAATAAATCGAATGCAAATTTAGTATGTTACTTCTTAATATGTATACTTTAGCAAAATAAAGTAAATTTAGTAAGATTTCTTACAAAATTATAAAATATTTTTAACTAACCATAAAAAGTGCATTGTTATACATTTCACTTTGATCACATAAGTTTTTTAAGAAATAATTTATTTAGCGAGCTCTTCAGGACGTACACAGATGAAATTTTAGAATGTTCCTTCTTAATATGTATACTTTAGTAAAAAATAGTAAAATTTAAAAGTTTTCTCACAAAATTTTAAAATATTACTAAGTTTTTATAAAAAGTACATTTTATTTTGAACACAAGAATCTTCAAACAAATGTGTTCTTTGATCATTAAATTATTATTATCTCATATTAGACATAAAGTTTTCGCAATTTTATATTTTTTACATTTATAGCAGTTATTAAAAAATAACATTAAATTTACAAGCTTGTAGTACAAACGGTGCGTCCTGAAAAGCTCCTCGAAAATCATTATTCTAATAATAGAAGTTTTATACTTTTAGTGTGAAGAGCTTTATTCCTTCGACTATTAAGCTTATCACCTTGATTTTCAACAGTTGTACCTTCAATTTTTTTTTTCAAATAATTTCTGAAGACAAAAAAAACTAAAATAAGTCGGTCCTTAACGAAGTGCGATGCCCAAAATTGATAATTCGACCCTGTCGTCTAGTCTTAGAGGCAAAAAAAGTTACAGGAGCAAATTAAGTGACTTGCATTCTGATAGAAAATTATATTTGATTATTTAAATTATGGGCAATGTAAATATTTAGACATTAGAAATAATTTGGATAAGATTTTAGAATAGTATTCTGGACTTTAATGTCATTTTTTATACAAAAAATTCGATACAAGTTTCCTGGATAATGTATTAGGTTGTCAAATATCTCCCTTCCGCCTTTTTGTATTATAAACCAAGAGCAAAAAAGCGGAAGGGAGATATTTGACAACCTAATATTTTGTGGAAAAAATATTTTACTCTTTGTATATCGTTTTTTGGGTATACCGAGTTGCTGTATGGCTTTATGATATTAGACAATATTTTAGATAATTTAATTCTGTATAAATTCACCGAATATTATTAACCGAATTATAAATTGTTTTTATAACCGGTTAATAATTAAACTACAGCAAATACAAACAAAACAGCTTATATTCACGATCATATTTTGATGCACTTTTTGGCCGTTCCTCTGGCAAGTTTTCCTTTCCAATAATGGTACATTATTTTCCCTAATTTCAATGGCAGAGACTGATTTAGATGATTTAGATGATTTAAACTTTAGGTGTTTCTGCAACTTTGGAAGACCATTTAGCCCTTGAAAACAATCCTAATAAGTTTCTTTCATCATGTTTGTCTAAATCATTCTGATCCACAGTACTAAGCTCAGCATATGATTCATCTAATCAAATTATGGAACTATCTAAGCTCTCAGAAGTTTTACTTTGTATCCTCCGTTCCGTTCTAAAGTGTTGTAAAATTCTATCATACGGAGATAGAATTGCCTGTTTTGCCTGTTAGTCTATAAACTTGCACTTCCTCTGACCTGTACTTATAAATTTCTTGTGATATTTTATTTAAACAGTCACACAATTTCAGAACAGTTTCAGACTATTATTTCGTTCTAAAACTTGCTCCAAACGTATATTATTACCTATCATTTTATCTAAGCATAAAGCGATTAAGTCAAATTCTGTTTTTAATACATAATAGATGATGGATATTTTGTCAGTATTTTTCATATTGACTTCTAAGTGTCTTACAAAGATATAATAGCAATAAAGCTCAAATTGATTCTATATGTTAGTTCGAAAACGTTTGTATTTGAAAAAGAAAAGGGCTGTTTTTAGGGTTTTCCCAACAATTTTCAGATTTTTCCTCGCCGTAATAACCATCCTTGGACTTCAGAGAACATTTTAAGAAGAGAATTGGCCAACTTTTACCAATTTTATTCATTTTTATGTATAAGATGTATATAAGTAAAATATTTTTAAAGTTTTAACAAAAACATTTTTAATTTTCACAAAAAAAGGCCGAATCCTTCTTGCCTACGTATTTCGTAGAACATACTTTGTTCATGAACTTAGACACTACGATCAATAGCGAGTACTTCCGAATGATTTCGAACTACCCCGAAAACGTTTAATAGCTTTCGATCGTTTTTATTTGCTATAAAGGCACATTTTTGAATGATTTTCAAAAAAACAAAATTTTGAAAAAATGTTGGACTATCGTGCATTCCGAACTAAAGGACTTCTACTGTATAAATATAAGAATTTACACAACATTAAATTTATGACACTCAAAGTATTTATTAAGAAGTGAAAATTTGTGAAAAATTATTTATTAATGTTATGTTATACAATATTTTATTATTATTATTATTAATGTTAGTAGTTGTACAATATGAATTATTTTTTATATTTTTAAAATATAAACAAACAATATTATCAATGATTGTTTTATTGCAAATATGTTTTATATCCACACAGGTTTAATCATTATTGTAAAAAACAATTCGAATACACTTTTAGATTCCATTTGTGCGATTTTTTTTGCAAGTTATAGTAATCGCAAAAAATCGAAAATGAAAATTTTTATATATCTTTACGTTCCAAAATCTTCTGAACATTTTGGTATACCTTAGAAAAAATGGATGTATGTGTGTGTGTGTGTATGTGTATGTATGTGTGTGTGCGTGTGCGTGTATGTGTGTGTGTTCGGATACAAATTTTCGTCGACGATTTCGAGAACACGAATGAAGCGATTTGAATAATTAAAAAAACATTCCATTCGTATTGATAAGGAGACGTGCTGATTAGTTTTTGGCGAAGGCAGGTCTAACCGTTTCGAAGATACGTGGCAAAAAGTACCAAAAAAGGTAACTCAGTTTTTAAGAGAACAGAGCGTCGGATTTGAATAATTCAAAAAACATTTTACTTGTATTAACAATTTTTAGATTGTTAAGTAAGTTAAGGCAGGTCTAGCGGTTTCGGAGATCTAGTGAAAAAAGTAAAAAAAATGCCATTTGGCGGTCAAAAATGATCATTAGACATGCACATCAAATTATCAGATATTTTAACAATAAGTATAAATTTTGTATACATTCCTATGGGTTCCGTACCAGTGTTTAACCGTTAGACGGCGACACAGCGCATACGCGCTTCGATATTGTGTCTCTATGCAGTTAAAACAGTACGATTGCTTTGAAAAAAAAGTTCAGAATTTCCAAAATATTTCAAAATAAATTTTTCTTCAAAAAGTCTTTTTTTTTCAAAACAAGTAAGTTTTTGTCAAAAATTCATAGTTTCTCAAAAATCTAATTTTTTCAGAGTAATTTTTTTTCAAAAATGTTAATCTTAAAAAAAAAATGGTACGGGGGAAGTTCTAGCAATTTGCCTTAAGGCACGATGCCATGCGCCCCACTAGTTAAATTAAATGTTGAAAAAGTTACTCTAATCATTCAAAAATCGATAATGATAATTTTTGCATATCTTCACGTTTCAGAGGATTCTGAACATTTTGGCATACCTTAGAAAAAATGTATGTATGTGTGTGTGTGTATTTGTATGTAGTATGTACGTAAGTATGGCTACAGATTTTCGTCGACGAATTAAAAAAACATTCGATTCCTATTGATAGAGAGATGTGCTGATTAGTTTTCGGGAAAGGCAAGTCTAATCGTTTTGGAAGTAAAGAGCAAAAAATTTTAAAAATGTTATGTCCGTTCTTAAGAGAACGGAGCGTCCGATTTGAATGATTCAAAAAACGTTTTGCTTCTATTGACAAAATGAAAGTAGTGATTAAATTTTTGCAAAGGCAGATTCAGCGGTTTCGGAGATTTAATAAAAAAAACTAAAAAATGCCAAAATGATCGTTAGACTTATGCACATCAAATTATCAGAAATTTCATAGGGATTTTAATAATAAGTATGAATTTTGTTTAAAACATTACGAATGTATTTTTATAAAAATATTAAATAAAACAAAATAGTGGAGTGTCAAATGTCAAGTTAAATAAATGTTTATAACTGTAATATTCTCAGGTATGTAAATAATATATAATATATATATATATATATATATATATATATATATATATATATATTACCTTTTTCTTTAAGATTTATCCAGTCCAGAAATAGAAAAATCAATCCTGGTCAATCCAGAATGTCCACTCGGTGTCTTCTTGGAGTACATTCGAACAAATGTAGGCCTGCAAAAATACGGTAAATATTAAAAAAGAGTGCGCGTAAGGATCACACGCGATTGAAGTAAAACTTATTTGCTACTGTATAAAGTAGCAAATTTAAGTTGAGTAAAAATAAATACATCATATAAAAATTTTGAATAATGTTTATTAGTAATATGGTAACACTCGTGATGCACACATTTATTAGTGTCGTCAATCGTTATACACGTTTATATAATGATAAATTATCAATTATATATTTATGATTACATTAAAAATATGTATAATATTTACAAACAATAATGTAATCAAAGTCGTACTTGAAATATGACATGATCGTTTTAAAGTAATTGCTGATTAATAAATTCTATAATATTCATTCACACAGTGGATTATGTTAGACAACGCCTAAACAAATATTGTTTTTGCAAATTATCTCATCCTGTAACAATTGTGTTTGAAGAACTTCATGTAATTATAATTAACATACATTCATTTACTGTTTGTATTTTTTTTACTTTTTCGCTGACGATATAATCTCATTCCTTGAACAGCTGTAATATCCGTCTTGCCTAACAAATTGAAGCCATACTTTTATATTTGTTTTATTTATCAATTTTACCCTGCACATAGCTTGATCTATGAATCATTTGCTTTTTTATGTGAACGTTAATGCAAGGATCATCATTAATATTACGAGGTAATAAATTAACCATATTATTAATGTCAACAGGCACATTTATAATTTGGCCAAACATTCCAAATTGTCCATTTGCATGTCTCAATCGTCTAATTTGCATGAAACACAACCTAGATGAAATTAACCTTTCAGATACAGTATCTAGTTTAGGTAGATAATTTGGTATAGGTGGAAATACAAACCCGTTAAATTCACACAAAGTGGGAATTTTACCCGAATTTAATATCTTTCGACAAGTTTGACATCCAACCTGACTATTTGAATCAATATTCAAAAAACATTATTAAGAATTTGTTTTTGAGCATCATTTGATATTTCTAAGTCACTTTGAAGCCAATGTCGATCACACACAAAACATACATAGCCTTAGCCTTATCATTTCTTACGCAGCGCAGATTTTTCCTTAGTTTCATTATTTATTTGCGATCATTTGCACAACAATTATTTATGGGGGACGGGATAAAATATTTTTCCGATCCTGACATTTTTTTAACTTCCCGTAGGGTAAGTTATTGTAATGGGCCGAAAATCGGAATTGAAAATTTTTACATTTCTCGACGTTTTGAAGGTTTCTGAACGTTTTGGCATACCTCAGAAAAAATGGATGTGTGTGTGTGTGTGTGTGTGTGTGTGTGTGTGTGTGTGTATGTATGTATGTGTGGATACAAATTTCCAGTCACGTTTTAGGGCGCACGGATCAACCGATTTGAATGGTTCAAAAAACATTCGATTCCTATTGATTGGGAAAAGAGCTGATTAGTTTTTGGCAAAGGCAGGTCCAGCCGTTTCGGAGATACGGAGCAAAGAGTGCAGAAAATAGAAATCGAATTTTTGAGCGAACGGAGTATCCGATTTGAATGATCTAAAAAACATTCAATTAGTAATGATTGGGAGAAGTGTTTATTACTTTTTGGCAAAGGCAGGCCCAGCCATTTCGAAGATACGGAGCTAAATATGTAAAAATGGCAGTTTTTGAGAGAACTAAGCGTCCGATTTAAATGATTCAAAGAACTTTCTGCTAGTCTTAACAAAATAATTGATTTTGAAAAAAAAATTTTGTTCAATTTTTTTTTTTTTTTTTTTTTTTTTTTTTTTTTTTTTTTTTTAGTATTTTGTATATCGAAAATATTTCAGATTTTATTTTTAATTCTGACTATAGTTCTAATATACTTTACAAATAATTTCAACTCTGCAATTCGGTTTATATAATTCTTATAAATATTACACAATGTTACAATATTTATAATAATCTATTTGAAAACATTCAGTATTCTTCGAACATTTCGTTACGGTGCGGGAAGTTCCAGCAATTTGCCTTAAGGCACGATGCCATAATTGCCTCAAGAGAGAATTCCACTTACAGCTAGTTTAACTCACGAATTATACTGCTAACCCATGTCGCGCCTAAAGAAGTTTTACTTCAATAAGCTTTATTTATTTTAGATGAATTCGATTTGTGTCCCGAGACTGGAGTTTTAAAAAATCTCAACGAAACTTCGATGTTCACGAACGCCTCGACTTTGATGGAGGATCGAGAGACTTTCTTTGTTGTTCACATACAAAGTAAGCATCTTAAAATATCTATTACTATATTTCTATTATTTATACATTACCTTTATCCAGGAGATGCAGACTGTGTATCCTACCACCTGCTGCTTCCTCGAAACCACGAAATATACAACGAACTTTCATCAAAAATCAAAGAAAACGCCTGCGTCTGCGACTCCGGTCTAAATTTATCAGGTGTCACCAACCTTTCGGGTAGTAAAGGGAGCAGATCGAGTACCAGCAAAAGGGGTAGCAAATCTTTGTCATCAACGGGAACCAAAAAATCCTCCTCTGGAAGCGTCAAATCTGGATCATCCAATAATAGGAGGTTATCGAGTGCTGGAAGCAAGGAGAAGAGATCTGGTAGTAATGTTAAAATGTAAAGATCTTGTATGAATGTAATATATATATATATATATATATATATATATATATATATATTAAAATATATAGAAATTTATTATATTATACATTCATGCACTTATTTAATTACATTTATATCTAAACATTTTTTATATTGAAAAAATGTTTACTATTCCAAGTACTTTCTCAAAATTCAATTTCCCATTTATTTTCTTACCTGATTTTTTGTTTTCAATTTTCCCAAGTTTAAACTACGTAGCACAGACGAAACATTGTTACGAAGTTAGTTACGTTAATAAAACGTACTTGTAATCGTTTTCTACGTAGATACTTTGGTTTTCTTCGTTACGTTGCAGTTATGTAACAAAGGTTTCATACATTTACCATACAAAATGGACGGTTTTGTGCAGCTGTTTAACAGAAATGTAAAAAAGATAGGTTATGTGTAGTTTTTTTGCTATTTTCGCGTTATTTTATATTATATTAGTTTATTCTTTAATTCTATTATTTATTGTGTTCTCACTGTTAATTTTGTATGAAAATAGGTAATCCTTTTTGATAAATTTATGGAATGAAAATTCTAAATAGTCTACAAATATTCCAGACAGATTATAAATATTCCCAAACAGTCTACAAATATTCCAGACAGTCAAAATATTTTATTACAGAAAATATTTTTTCTTGACATGTTCTCCATAGTTCTGAAAATAGCCTGAAAATGTTTCAAATAGTACTAAAATATTCTTAAAGTTTGTCTGAATTTTGAAAGTCTCATTGTCTATAAATTAATGTTGTAAATTGTTTGAAAATACTGCAAATATAATACTAACTCGAACTATCATAAATGCATAGTTTTTGCAAAATTCTGTTTGATAAATTTATGGAATGCAAATTCTAGATAGTCTACAAATATTCCAGACAGTCCACAAATATTCTCAGACAGTATACAAATATTCTCAGACAGTATACAAATATTCTACAAATATTCCCAGACAGTCTACAAATATTCCCAGACAGTCTATAAATATTCGAGACAGTCTATAAATATTCGAGACAGTCTACAAATATTCTGACAGCCTACAAACATTCCAAACAGTCTACAAGTATTCCAAACAGTCAAAATATTTTATCACTGAAAATATATTTTCTAGATAGTCTTGACATGTTCTATATAGTTCTGAAAATAGCCTGAAAATGTTCTAAATAGTCATAAAATATTCTTAAAATTTGTCTGAATTCTGAAAAGTTAAATGCAATTGTTGGAAGAAATGTTAAACTCATTTGTAACATTATATCTTATTTTATTCCACTCGAAAATTGAAAATTAAAACATATAAGTAAAATATAAATAATAAATTAATTTTAACAAATTTTTGTCATACTTCATATTTGTAATTACAATTTAATGTGAATCGCGTAATTCACACTTTTAGTGCAGTAAACGGCTCTGTTTTAGATCTGAATTTTTCCGAATTGAATGAAATTTTGGAATTAGGTTCATCTTACCCTCAAGTTCAAAGTGAAAACAGTAACATGGTGTAATTACATTTTTTCAAAATAACGAAAATCGATAGAAGAACTAATTATAAGAAAAACATGTATTTTATAGTTTTTCAAAAAAACTAATACTTTACAAGTTACTGGCCACTAAAGATTCATATATTTTTGGCGTTTTTCTCCATTTTTTTGCAAATATCTCCTAAAATATACATTTTAACGAAAATCATGTAATGAACAAAATAATGTCAATAAAAATCTTAATGAATCGGTATTACATAAAGTGTTCTAGGAAAAATATTAAGCAAGATTTGAAAGAGCAAAGTCGTTTTTTATTTCGTCCAAGATTTAATTGTTGTATATAAGCCATCCAGTGGCGAGGTTTTACATTTTATGCATTTCGGTGAAATTGGGTTTTATAGTGCTCAACATAAGCTTTAAAATGAGTGCTGTAACAAGTTTTTTGCGTGTAAAACGAAGTTTTTTTCTTTTAAATCATATGATTTAATAAGCGCCATTTCCATCAGAATTAAAGTAATTCACATTCCATCTAGAATTCATTATAGACATTTTGATGGATTCTAGCAGATTCACTACTTTAGTACAAACTATTTTCAGAAAACTCATTATTTTATAAAAACTTTTCTTCCCAATTTGCGCGGCCACGCGCTCTTTAAACAATCATAACTTTGTCAATTTTTGTATGAAAGAAAAATAATAAAAACAATAATAAGCTAGAAAGATTCCTTTGATTTTTATCTATATGCTTTTATGCGTATCTTTTATTCTTTTTGAGATATAATGAAAATAAGTTCGATTTAAAAAAAAACGGAAAAAAAGATTTTATAAAATCGTGAGTTTTCTGAAAATAGTTTGTACTAAAGTAGTGAATCTGCTAGAATCCATCAAGATGTCTATAATGAATTCTAGATGGAATGTGAATTACTTTAATTCTGGTGGAAATGGCGCTCATTAAACCATATGATTTAAAAGAAAAAAAAAAACATCGTATATGCTTCTTATTTGCATGATAGCTCACATATTTTACACGCAAAAAACTTGTAACAGCACTCATTTTAAAGCTTATATTGAGCACTATAAAACCCAATTGCACCGAAATAAAAAATGACTTTGCTCTTTCAAATCTTGCTTAATATTTTTCCTAGAACACTTTATGTAATACCGATTTATTAAGATTTTTATTGACATTATTTTGTTCGTGACATGATTTTCGTTGAATTGTATATTTTAGGAGACATTTGCAAAAAAACGAAGAAAAACGCCAAAACTATATGAATCTTTAGTGGCCAGTAACTTGGAAAGTATTTTTCTTATAATTAGTTCTTCTATCGATTTCCGACGTTATTTTGAAAAAATGTACTTACACAATTGAGAAAAGTTGTCATTCCCCCGGAACCCGAGTTGTTTTCACTTTTGAACTTGAGGGTAAGATGAACCTAATTCCAAAATTTCATGCAAATTGGAGCACAGTAAAAAAATTAATAGGTTATACCCTTTTTTCCTCTGCGTTTACTGCACTATTTTCACGTTCCTCATTGTGAATAAGCATATGTTCATCCAGGTTACTACTTTGTGTAAATATCTCATTGCATACAGAACATGTATGGAACTGTTTACTACTGTGAAGGAGCATGTGCCTTTTCAAGTAGTGCATTGTTGAGAAGGACTTATCGCATATTTTACACTTTTGGCGCGGTTCATTACTGTGAATTTGCATGTGGGTTTTCAAAACTCCCACTTGTGTAAATGTCTTATCACATACTGTACACCTATTTGGCCTTTCACCGGTGTGTATGAGCATATGCATTTTTAATCCACCTCGTTGTACGAATGATTTTTCGCATACTTTACACCTATGAAGCCTTTCACCAGTGTGTACGAGCATATGCGTTTTTAAGCTACTCCTTTGTGAGAATGCCTTATCACATACTTTACACCTATAAAGCTTTTCACCGGTGTGTATGACCATATGCCTTTTTAAGCCATCCCCTTTTGTGAATGACTTACTGCATACTTTACATTTGTGAGGCCGAGTCCCTATGTGAATGAGCATATGCGTTTTTAAGCCACTCTTTCGTGCGAATGACTTACTGCATAATTCACAAATGTGTGGCTTTTCATCGCTGTGTATGACCATATGTGATTTTAAATCACTCGGTTGTACGAATGACTTTTCGCATACTTTACACCTATGGAGCCTTTCACCGGTGTGTATGACCATATGCCTTTTTAAGCCATCCCCTTTTGTGAATGACTTACTGCATACTTTACATTTGTGAGGACGAGTTCCTATGTGAATGAGCATATGCGTTTTTAGGCCACTCTTTCGTGCGAATGACTTACTGCATACTTCACATATGTGTGGCTTTTCATCGATGTGTATGACCATATGTGATTTTAAATCAGTCGATTGTATGAATGACTTACCGCATACTTTACATTTATGAGGCCGAGTCCCGATGTGAATGAGCATATGCATTTTTAAGCTACTCTTTCGTGCGAATGACTTACTGCATACTTCACAAATATGTGGTTTTTCATCGCTGTGTGTGACCATATGTGATTTTAAATCACTCGGTTGTTTGAATGACTTACCGCATACTTTACATTTATGAGGCCGGTGCCCAGAGTGAATATAAAGCTTATGAGTTTTCAAGTTACGCCAATGTATAAATGTCTTATCGCATAATTCACACCTGTGGGGTCTTTCGCCGCTGTGAACAGGCATATGTCTTTTCAAATTACGCGAATGTGCGAATTGTTTATCGCATACTTTACACTTATAAGGCAGATCACCGTTGTGCATGCTCATATGAGATTTCAAGCTACCAAAATATGTGAAAGTCTTATTACATACTTTACAACTGTAGGACCGTACGCCACTGTGAACAAGCATATGCATATTCAAGTTGTTATGTGTTGAGAATGAATGACTTATTGCACATTTACACGCATGCGGCCGTACGCCACTGTGTACAAGCATATGTTTTTTCAAGGTCCAAATTGTTGATAATGACCTATCGCATACTTTGCATTTATGCGAACCTTTTGCACTATGAGTATCCAAGCTTTGGGTTTGATTATCAGATTCACTCAACGTTAAAGTTTTTTCCCAATCACAAACGTGTTGATCAAAATCCAATTGTCTAGTGAATACTTTATTGCAAATTGTGCACACAAAAGGCTTGACATCTGCATGAATTTTCAGATGTATTTCTAAGGCGCCTGAATCTGGAAAAGTATCTGAACAAAATGTACAACTATGACAATGTTCCAGCATGTGCTGTTCTGTAAATAATTCATTACATGTGCCTTCATTACATTTATAATGAGGTGCTTCAATAAACTCCTGTCTAATTTCATCAGATTCACTCAAGATTAAAGTTTTTCCCCAATCACAAGCGTGTTGATCAAAATCAAATTTTACAGCAAATGCTTTATTGCAAATCGTGCACACAAAAGACTTGACACCTGCATGTATTTTTAGATGTATTTCTAAGGTGCTTGGATCTGAAAAAGTATCTGAACAAAAGGTACAATTGTGACTATGCACCGGCATATGCTGTTCTAAATCATGCTGCTCTGTAAATGATTCATTACATGTGCCTTCATTACATTTAAAATGAGGTGCTTCAATAAACTCCTGTCTGATTTCATCAGATTCACTCAACGTTAAAGTTTTTTCTCCATTACAAACGTGTCGATCAAAATCAAATTTTACAGCAAATGCTTCATTGCAAATTGTGCATTCAAAAGGCTTTTCATCTGCATGTATTTTCTGATGTATTTCTAAGGCGCTTAGATCTGCAAAAGTATCTGAACAAAATGTACAACTATGACTATGAACTAGCATATGCTGTTCTAAATCATTGCATGTGCCACTATTTTCATTGACTTCATTTTCTATCATTAGATCGGTGCTCATAAATCTCTTCAGATAAGCTTCTTTATGTTCAGGCTCTTCTTCTTTTATTTCAAAATCCTTGTCTTCAATTGAAAATTCTTGCAGTTCGATGTTAACTTTTGGGACCGACATTTTGGGATATTCGCTCCTGTAAATATTGTAATTGTAATTGTATTGCGTTTTTGTAATATTGTGAATGACATGTCATAATATATTTATTTTTGTAAACGAATATTTTGTAATATGTATATATATATATATATATATATATATATATATATTAATTAAAATGTTTATTACAACTGTTAAATAGTTAACATCTAGCAATATTGATAAATAATAACATAAATTCAAATAAAAGGGCAAAGGGTAGAATTTACATGAAAATAATATCCGTAGTATGATGATTTAATATAAAATAAAAGCAAATAATAGAAATAAAATTAATAAATAATATAAATAAAATTTCTAATAATATATTCATTAATTATCACATTTCCACATTGATGACCATTGACTTGAAGATTGCAAATGAGCGCATCAAGAATTAAAAAATTAATGTCAAGCCTACTTTGACGTCAAACCTATTTGCAGGTGATCGGAAACACGTTGTATTTAATTTAGTGCAACTGAATGTAGAGGATTTATAGATACGGTGTTAATATTTACAAAAATAAAGATTATGACATGTTATTTTTCTTTTGTTCGGATTTGATGTCAACGGAGTAAACGGAGAGGAAAAGAGGGTATAACCTCTGATTTTTTTTTACTGTTCTCCGATTTGCATGAAATTTTGGCATTAGGTTCGTCTTACCCTCAAGTTCAAAAGTGAAAATAATTTGACTCCGCCACCATCATTAATGAATAAGTGAACATTGAGCCAGAAAATGTTTTTAATATTAAAGGATATAATTGAAAAGTATTTTTTAATACATTTACCTTGAATTAAAATTATTTTCAACCCCGTGAAACCCCTAAAACCCTTCAAACAACCTCTAAATTGAAAAAAACTTAAAAATAAATTTCGGTATGATATAATAAGAATTACGTATAAAGTAAATAATATTTTATGTTTTCTATATGATTATTAAGTTTTTAACCTTTTTTAGACCCTTGAAAACAACCCCTTGATAAAAAAATTGTTTGAAAAAATTATTTTGAAATTGAAAGAAAATTAAGAAATTAAAAATGATATGAATGGTATTTATTATTAGTTATTATTTATTGTTATATATATAAATATGTATATATATATATATATATATATATATAACAATGCTTGTTACAATAAGTATTTAATTTTTTAGTACTATATGTATATTATCAACTAACCTTGCATTTAAAACAGTATTGTAAATGTTGTCTATGATTTCCTGCTTCAGTTCTTCATCTTGAAAAGATTCTAGTAGTTCTTTTAAGGTCGATAATAATTCATTGACGGTCTCATCTTCTGAATACTTTTGCGAAACTTGAGTGTCGTTCTTCATGAATAAAGAAAATTGAATTTTAGATACTGGTTATTAGCAATATTACTTTTAATATTTTTAACTTCCCGTAGCGTAGTTTTAGTAATGGACCGAAAATCGAAAATGAAATTTTTTATATTTCTCGACGTTTTAAAGGTTTTTGAACATTTTGGCATACCTAAAAAAAAATGGATGTGTGTGTGTGTTTTGTATGTCCGCATTTTTTCGTCCACGTTTTCGGGCGCATGGATTAACCGATTTGAATTAAAAACATTCTGATAGGGAGATGTGCCGATTAGTTTTTGGCAAAGGCAAGTCCAGCCGTTTCGGAGATACTGAGTAAAGAGTGCAGAAAATACAAAATAGTTTTTGAGAGAATGGAGTATCGGATTTGAATGATCTAAAAAACATTAAATTTTTTATGATTGGGAGAAGAGGTGATTAGATTTTGGCAAAGACAGGTCCCGACATTTCGAAGATACAGAGCTAAATGTGCTAAAAATGTCAGTTTTTGAGAGAACTATGCGTCCAATTCACATGATTGAAAGAACTTTCAGCTTGTTTTGACAAAATAATTGATTTTGGAAAAAAAAATTGTATCATTTTTTTTTAGTTTGTTTTGTATATCGAAAATAATTCAGATTGTATTTTTAATTCTGACTATAGTTCTAATATACTTTAAACAAATAATTTCTTTACGTCTCAAAACCTTCTGAACATTTTGGCATACCTTAGAAAAAATTGATGTATGTGTGTGTGCGTGTATGTGTGCGTGTTCGGATACGAATTTTCGTCGACGATTTTGGGAACACGAATGAAGCGATTTGAATAATTCAAAAAACATTCGATTTGTATTGATAAGGAGACGTGCTGATTAGTTTTTGGCAAAGGCAGGTATAGCCGTTCCGAAGATATGGGGCAAAAAGTGCCAAAAATGGTAACCCGGTTTTACTTATATTAACAAGATGAAGATAACACGATGATCAAATTTTTAAAAGTAAAAAAAAAAATCCATTTCGCGGTCAAAAATGATCATTAGACATATGCACATCAAATTGTCAGATATTTTATAGAGATTTTAATAAGTATAAATTTTGTTTACATTCCTATGGGTTCCGTACCAATGTTTATCCGTCAGACGGCGGCGCGGCGCTTACGCGCTTCGATAATTCGTCTCTATTCAGTTAAAGCAATAGGATTGCTTGGAAAAAAAGTTCAGAACTTCCAAAATATTTCAAAATACACTTTTCTTCAAAAAGTCTTTTTTTCAAAAAAGTAAATTTTTGTCAAAAATTTATAGTTTCTCAAAAATCTAATTTTTTTCAGAGTAAATTTTTTCAAAAATGTTAATCTTTAAAAAAATAATTTTTGGTACGGGAAGTTCCAGCAATTTGCCTTAAGGCACGATGCCATGCACCACTAGTTAAATGTTTTTAAATAAATTTAATACCAGTAGCAAAAATTTTTATAGGCACCGCATCCATAATCTGTTCACTTTTTGATTCTGATTATGGTTTACGTCCACACATTAAATTAAAATAAAATAAAATACATTTGTAGAAAACGAAATGGATGAAATAAAATGTGTTAAACACATTAAAATAATTTATAAGATATATTAATATATCTTATTTTTTATCTGAATACCTGTATATCGCAATCTTTATTGATTAAGTTGATTATATGTATAATAGGTATTGGGAAGTTTGTGCAACTTGCCTTAAGGCAAAATGCTACTCACAACTAGTTATTGCTATTAATAACTATTTGATTACTTTAATTATATATATATATATATATATATATATATATATAATTATATTTAAATAACTATTCTATTACTCACCTGATTTGTTTCATTTCTATAAAAGCACCCATCATCTCTAAGATCTTCAACTGCACTTTTGCAAACGTCTTCAGGCGATTTTTCGTAATAGGAATTCATTTTTATAATTATAATATTAAATTTATTTTTATATTATAATATTAAACAATTAGTACGATTTTACTAAATATAAGAATATAAATAGTTATAAAAACACTCAAAACGTCCGCACTTGATGAATACAAAATTCACAATGAACACAATTTTATATTCATACCACAGCAGCCAAAAAGAAACGTATCACGTGACGTAATACTATTTTCTCATTGGTTCGCATTAGGGTAGTGATGTCACATGGCAGAATACTGCTTTCTGATTGGCTGGAACTAGAGAGAACTGTGCAAATAATCAAGCGTTGTTTAGGCGGAATTTTTAAATTTGAATAGGAAAAATTTTTTTTTGCTTTTATAACACTAAGAGTACAGACTTACTTTGAATTAAATTTTGCTTTTCTTACTTTCCATTTGTCTCTTAATTTTCATAGAAAAAGTTTATATTTTTGCCACAACTTACACATAAATTATAACTGATCTGAAAATTTTGCAAATTGTATATAAATGTTGTAGATAATCTGAAAATTTTGTAAACTGTTTGAAAATGTCAAATCTGAGTTACCGTTTTTGGCACTTTTTGCTCCATATCTTCGGAACGGCTAGACCTGCCTTCGCCAAAAACTAATCAGCACGTCTCCTTATCAATACGAATACGAATCGAGTGTTTTTTAAATTATTCAAATCGCTTTATCCGTGTTCCCGAAATCGTCGACGAAAATTTGTATCCGCACACACACACACATACACATACACACATCCATTTTTTCTGAGGTATGCCAGTAAAATGTTCAGAAACCTTCAAAACATCGAGAAATGAAAAAAATTTCATTTTCGATTTTCGGCCCATTACTATAACTTACCCTACGGGAAGTTAATAAAATTTTGTTTTTCTTACTTTCCATTTGTCTCTGAATTTTCACAAGAAAAAGTTTATTTTTTTGCCATTTTTTTTTTCACACACAAATTGTAATTGGTTTGAAAATATTGCAAATTGTATATAAATTTTGTAGATTCTCTGAAAATTTTGTAAATTGTTTGAAAATTTTGTCAAGACACTTTTAGACAATCATCAAGACAATGTTAGATAACATTTTTAGACAATCTTTAAAACATATTATGAAAATTGTAAATAATTTGCAACATTTTTAGATTACTTACAATATTTTCAGACAGTTTATGACATTCTTATACAGCTCTTACAACATTTTGAGAAAGTTCTCAACATTTTCAGATAGTTTACAACATTTTTATACAGCTTACAACATTCTCATACAGTTCACAACATTCTCACACAAATCTACAACTATCTCACACAGTCGACAACATTCTCATACAGCTTACAACATTTTAAAATAGTTTACAACATTCTCATACAGTTTACAACATTTTCAGACAGTTTATGACGCTATCGAGAAAGTTCTTAACATTTTCATACAGTTTACAACATTTGCGAAAAAGTTAAATAATCTACAATATTGTCTAATATCATAATGCCCTAAAGCAACTCGATATACTTCAAAATTACCTCTGAACATATAGTATCAATCCACTTGCACTTCATATATTGTGCAACCCTTTCATGCATTTATTTATTATATCTGTTGTAAATTTTAAACCGTACGTTTAAATTTAATGAAATATTTTGCAAATTTGTTTAAAATTAAATAATCTACAATATTTTCTAACATCATATAGTTCTACAGCAACTCGGTATACTTTAAAATTGCAATTGAATCTATTGACAACATGCTCATACAGTTTACAACGTTTTCGAGAAAGTTTTTTTAGTTTAACATTTTCATATAGTTTACACCATTTTCAGAAAAATTACAAGAAGCATGTAATTTGTTAATACATATACATTTTATTTTCAGTTAACAAAAAAGCATACATACATACATAACATTATTAAATATTAATAATACAAATTAATAAGCAGTCTCTTTAACATTTTCTTAGCCAATTAATATAAACAGATCACATAATTTTTATTTCTTCTGCTCCTTTTGCAATTCTTTTCCCAGCTCCTTTTCTATTTTAATTTCTTCTTGTTCCCAATCTGGAATAAGCTTTTCTGTTATATCATAAAATTTACCATGACGACCATGACCTAGAGGTAAAAAAATATAATTGATAAAAATATTCATACTATTTTGTAATCTATACTACCTATATATATATATATATATATATATATATATATATATATATATATTACTACCTGCAAGGAATTTCTGGGCCCCCTCTTCAGCCTGTCGTAGAATATCAGAGTTTGCATTTTCAACTTCAGCATCCAAAGCTTTTCTTAAAGATGTTGCATTGTAGGTTGCATTGTAAACACTCTCTCTATCGGCCAACATGCAATCTTGAGGGAATTTTGTGAGACAACCTGCTAGCTGTAGGGCTTGTCCGAAAGCTAAACAAATAATGAATAGTAAAAGACTCATGTAATTATTTTGGATATATATATATATATATATATATATATATATATATATATATATATATCTTCTTCCTTACCGGTTCCTGTAGCAACAATCCTATTAGCAATGCCCCATTCAAAGGCTTCTTTTGCATTTAAAGATCTACCTGTTAAGACAAGATCTAGGGCTCTTGAGATTCCAACCATTGCTGCCAGACGTACAGTACCACCATCGATTAATGGTACACCTGTAATAAACAGAGCAAATTGTATTTTTTCTTTATTTATGGAGAAAATTATTTTTGTTTATATACCGTATCGCCTGCAGTAGACCCCCATAACAGCAGTGTCTTCAACAACTCTTAAATCACACATTAGAGCTAATTCAAAGCCACCGGCAACTGCATAACCGCTTACAGCACAAATCATTGGTTTGGAAATTGGACGCCTTGTGGGCCCCTGAGATAAAACAATTATATATATATATATATATATATATATATATATATATATTATATATATACATTTATGAGTATATTATTATTACCATGCTTCCTTCAGGGTTAAGAAGTAACTCAGGCCTAATTTTCTCATGACACAATTCTTTTAAATCGTATCCAGAGCAAAAGTTTCCCCCAGTGCCGTATAGTACAGCAACTTTAGCTTCAGCATCATTTTCAAATTCAAAAACTGCTCGACATATTTCTTGAGCTGTTGCTGAGTCTACACAATTTCTAGATTCGGCTCTGTTGATGCCTATTGTTGTTATTGAGCTTTTTTTCTCTACGATTAGTTCTAGAAAAGGGGTGGTTGAAATAGTGTACAATTGTAAATATTTTGTAAGCAAAAGTTATATAAAATATTAAGTATTAGGTATATGTCATGAATAAGTATGACAGAAGCTTGAGGTACTGTTTATCACGGCTTGATTATAAATAAATAAATAAATAAATAAATTCTACATTATATATCAATTATTACCTTTATATTCTGGTTTAGCCTTTTTATCACAAAATGTCCTTTGAGATTTCGGGAACACTTTCAACACATTTCCAAAATCCCTTAATATCCTATATTTATACATAATTAATTATTATTTACAACTACTAATTATATTAGTTTCAATATTATTTCTTTTGCAATCTCTTGCAAAGGTTATGTTTACTTAAAATGTCAAAATTGAAAAATGACGAACTTCAGACTGAAAAAAGCGGCGGGGAATTTGAAAATTGCAATTTAAAAGTGAAACATGACAAATTAAAAGTTAAAAAAGAATAATTAAAGCAAATTTATATATTATTGATGATAAAGAACGTGGTATTGCATATATGTAATAAAATAAGTGTATAAGAGACGTTTTGATTTAACACTTGACATGAAAATTGTGATTTAAATATAAAAACTAATAAATTGAATAAAATTGATACAAAATCTGTTTTTATTCATTAGTATTATTGTGTAAAAGTATATTTTCAAGTATTAAATTAATAGAAACTTACCCAAACAAATTCAGATTATATATTTGACAGTTGACACAGTATGGAAATCTAATTTTTTGTGCATTTTATATTTTTAACAACATTTGTACTACAAAAATTAAATTTAAGGTTTAAATCACTCATTTAATCAAAAATTTAAAGCCAAATTATTTATTTAATTAAAAACTGTCACTTTTCAATATAACTTTTTGTTTTGAGCGCCATTTTTTTGACAACTGTCAAAACTGTCACAAAAATATTAAAATAAAATGCTATTATTTAGTCTGTATAATTTTACTATAAGTTTCATACTAATAATTAATATTCTAAATATTATAAATATTTGTTTTATTAATTTTAAAACAAAATTATTTAAATTCAATATTTTTAAATATAAACAGTCACTTTCATGCAACTTCATGACGTTGTAAACTGTCAAAACACAACTTATTTTGTACAAATCATTAAATGAACAGCTATTAAGTAATTTAATTATACAATTTTTCTGTTTAAAGAAATTCAACTCAAACTTATTTAAATTACACATTTTTAATTAAAAACTTTCATATTTTTATTCAAGTTTTCTAAAGTTTGCGCCATGTATGCGCCATCTTGTTGAAACTGTCAAAGCTGTCAAAATAACCTCATACTTTGTTACATTCTTTATTATATTGTCTAGGGTCTAGGGTCACATTTTGTACAATTAATAAAGTGCAGTGTTATTATTAATCATTTATCATTATTTTTTATACCTTTACATAAAACACGTGTAATTTATCCTGCTATTTAAACCATATTCATTTAATTTCCATCAATTGCAAGTGCTTATTTTTGTTATCTCATATCAGTGTGTTTATATTTTATCAAATCATTTAAAATCTTCTTATGATTACATGTACAAGATTATTTAATATTAGTTCTAAATGTGTGTTGAATCGTGTTGTATTTTCTAGTATTAAAAATAATTTACAAAAAAGTTTGTGCCAAACAACCGGCTTTAGGAAAATGGCAAACGTCCAACAGGTTAGTAAGGTTATGTAGTAGTAAGAGATACAAAAATCTCTTGTAACTTTTGAATTATTTGTGCTAGGTAAATATAATGTTTGAGAAATTTGTAGGAAATTGAAATTGTTATAATGTGTTCTTATACCAAAATGTTCTACAGCAACTCGGTATACTTAAAAATTGCAACTGAATACAAACTCTGCATGGATTTATACAGTGCAACTATAAGAAGGGCCGTGCAATTATTTACTATATCTCTTGTAACTTTTGAATAGTTTGTCTAATTTTGATGCAATATTTAGCAAATATGTATAAAATTCAATAATCTACTTATTGTCTAATATAATATAGCCCTAAAGCAACTCGGTATACTTTAAAATTACCTCTGAACATCCACTTGCACTTCATATATGTGCAACCCTTTCATGCATTTATGTATTATATCTCTTGTAACTTTTAAACCGTACGTTTAATTTTAATGAAATATTTTGCAAATTTGTTCAAAATTAAATAATCTACAATATTTTCTAACATCATGTAGTTCTACAGCAACTTTAAAATTGCAATTAAAAAAATCTGAATGTGTACCTCAAAATTTCAATCAAATTTTTTTAATTAATTATAAATAATTTATTAAATATAACTTTATTATAAATATAAATATTTTTTTTCAGAGTAATGTGAAACCGGTTATTTATTGTGAAAAAACAGGATTATTAGGGGATGATCCTTCTCAGAAAAAAATTAAGGTAAATAAAAACACTTTTTATTTATTAGTATTGTTTTTGAAGAGCTCTTCAGGACGAACCGTTTGCAATATAACTTTGCAATTCGAATTAAATATTCTTCACTATGTCTATTATAAGGACAAACACTAAAATTGATGAGTTTTCTAAGAAAATTTTGAGTTATTAATTATCTTAGACCAAAAAGTACTTTTAAAATGCATTTGATATGTATGTGTTGTTTTTGACGAGCTCTTCAGGACGAACGGTTTGCAATATAATTTTGTAATTCGAACTAAATATTCTTCAATACATCTATTATTAGGACAAATACTAAAATTGATGAGTTTTCTAAGAAAATTTTGAGTTATTAAATATCTTAGGCCAAAAAGTACTTTTAAAATGCATCTGAGATGTAAGTGTTGTTTTTGAGGAGCTCTTCAGGACAAACGGTTTGCTTATATAACTTTGCAGTTCGAACTAAATATTCTTCAATGTGTCTAATAAAAGGTCAAATACTAAAATTGATAAGTTTTTTAGGAAAATTTTGACTTATTTAATATCTTAGACCAAAAAGTACTTTTAAAATGCATTTGAAATGTAAGTGTTGTTTTTTAGGAGCTCTTCAGGATAAATGATTTGCAATATAACTTTGTAATTTGAACTAAATATTTTTCAATATATTTATTATTAGGACAAATACTAAATTTGATGAATTTTTCAAGTAAATTTTGACTTATTAAATATCTTAGACCAAAAAGTATTTTTAAAATGCATTTGAGATGTAAGTGTTGTTTTTGAGAAGCTCTTCAGGGGAAACGGTTTGCAACATAACTTTGTAATTCGCACTAAATATTCTTCAATATATTTAGTATTAGGACAAATACTAAAATTGATAAGTTTTCTAAGAAAATTTTGAATTATTAAATATCTTAGACCAAAAAGTACATTTAAAATGCATTTGAGATGTAAGTGTTGTTTTTGAGGAGCTCTTCAGGACAAACGGTTTGCCCCACAATTTTGAAATTTTCATATAACATTCTTCAATGTGTCTATTATAACCAAAAATACTAAAATTATTAAGTTGTCTAAGGATTTTTTTTTGTTATTAAATATCTTAGATCAAAAAGTACTTTTAAAATGCATTTGAGATGTAAGTGTGGTTTTTGACGAGCTCTTCAGGACGAACGGTTTGCAATATGAGTTTGTAATTCGAACTAAATATTCTTCATTATATCTATTATTAGGACAAATACTAAATTTGATAAGTTTTCTAAGAACATTTTGAGTTATTAAATATCTTAGACCAAAAAGTACTTTTAAAATGCATTTGAGATGTATGTGTTGTTTTTGACGAGCTCTTCAGGACAAACGGTTTGTCCCACAATCTTGAAATTCAAACTCAAAATTCTTCAATATGTCTACAAAAAATAAAAATACTAAAAATATAAAGTTTTCTAAGAAAATTTTGAATTTTTAAATATCCCAACACAAAATGTTGAGGAATCTTACTATTTCTCAACATTTTTAAAATTCCCTCCAGAATTCTTTGATCTAACACTAATACTAATATTTTAAATATCGATTACGCATTTATTTATTATTATATAAATATATTTATATTTATATTTGTATATAAACACATTTTATCGGTAGTCGAACAATGCATTTAAATTCCATACTCAGAATTGTTATCGTTCCAAATAAATTTATACAAAATAACTACTAAATCGATTTCTAGATTTTAATCCAGTTACAATTTCATTTTATTTAAATCGACATTGAGTGTAAAAAATAAATTAGATGACTTAGAAAATTTTAATTTGTTTTAAAATTTGTTAAATTCGTTGTTAAAATTTAATTTGAAGTGATGTATGTTAGAAATGTTTTGCTTTTTTGTGCTGTTATAATTGTTTTGGCCATTGGAATGAAATTACATCGATTTAAAGTCAGTATTAGAAATAGTATTATATTTTTATATATAGAAAAAAATACTCGTTATATTTAATACTTATAATTTTTTGCATAATATAACACTTCCAGTATCAAGTATTTTATTACACAATTTGAGTAATTTTTTTATTTGGTTTTTAATACAGCTCATTATGGGTATACCGAGTTGTTGTAGGGTCTTATAATATTGGACAAGTTTTTAGATAATTTAATTCTAAACAAATTTCTTAAATACACTTTTTAGTTTGCGTAAATATTTTAAAAGTTATAAATAATTTTGTAAAGATATTCCCTAGTTAGGAAGTACTAAGATGAAACGTACATTTAAATTTTCTTGTAGACGTAAGTGCTATTTTGGAGAGCTCTTCAGGACAAACTGTTTGTAATACAATTTTGAAATTCCATCTAAATGTTCTCTAATATGTCTACTGTAATGACAAATAATAAAATTTACAAGTTTTCTAAAAAAAATTTGAGTTATTACATATCTAAGGCGAAACGTACATTTAACATTTCTTGTAGACGTAAGTGTTGTTTTGGAGAGCTCTTCAGGACAAACCCTTTGTAATACAATTTTGAAATTCCACTTAAATATTTTCTAATATGTCTAATATAATGACAAATAATAAAATTTACAAGTTTTTAGAGAAAATTTTGAGTTATTAAATATCTAAGGCGAAACGTACATTTAACACATCTTGTAGACAAATCAATTTTGGAGGGCTCTTCAGGACAAACCGTTTGTAATACAATTTTGAAATTCTATCTAAATATTCTCTAATATGTCTAATATAATGACAAATAATAAAATTTACAAGTTTTTAGAGAAAATTTTGAGTTATTAAATATCTAAGGCGTAACGTACATTTAACACTTCTTCTAGACGTAAGTCCAAATCAATTTTGGAGAGCTCTTCAGGACGAACCGATTGTAATACAATTTTGAAATTCCACCTAAATATTCGCTAATATGTCTACTATAATGACAAATAATAAAATTTACAAGATTTCTAAGAAAATTTTGAGTTATTACATATCTAAGATGAAACGTCGTACATTTAACATTTCTTGTAGACGTAAGTCCAAATAGATTTTGGAGAACTCTTCAGGACAAACTGTTTGCAACACAATTTTGAAATTTCACCTAAATATTCTTTAACATGTCTACTATAATGACAAATACAAAAATTTACAAGTTTTCTAAGAAAAATTTACAAGTTTTTTAAGAAAATTTTGAGTTATTACATATCTTAAGGCTGAAAAGTACATTTAACATTTCTTGTAGAAGTAAGTGTTGTTTTGGAGAGCTCTTCAGGACAAACCGATTGTAATACAATTTTGAAATTCCACTCAAATATTCTATAATATGTCTACTATGATGATAAATAATAAAATTCACAAGTTTTCTAAGAAAATTTTGAGTTATTACATATCTAAGGCAAAACGTACATTTAACATATCTTGTAGAAGTAAGTGTTGTTTTGGAGAGCTCTTCAGGACAAACCGATTGTAATACAATTTTGAAATTCCACCTAAATATTCTCTAATGTGCCTACTATTATGTCAAATAATAAAATTTGCAAGTTTTCTAAGAAAATTTTGAGTTATTAAATATCTAAGACTAAATCAATCAAAATTTTCTCTTTTAAATGTACGTTTATTTAAAACAGAAAATTTTGATTGATTTAGCAACTTGCCAATAGGCAAAATTTGGACACTTATGCCACGTGACATATCATTTGATAGGTCTTTGGAAGTAGATTACGAATTTGATATTCATTTCGATTTTTTTTTCAAATAGTAAACTATAATTTTCAAATTTCAAAAAGTTTTAGACATTTTTTTGGGGTAGTACCAAAAATTTGCTGATATCACTTTAAATTATTTGTCACTATATTTTCTTTTAGTCTCCACTGTTATCTTATCACTAACTATAAATTATCTTTATCTTAAACGCTTATCTTTCTTATCATTAATATAATTCCAAGGGATTCCTTTATTCCATCATTGCAAAACTAATTCTATTTAATCTTTTTGAATATTTTGGATTTTTAAATTACAAAGACTACTTTGATAAGAAGGAAATTTTAATCTGCACTTGAGACAGAGATTGTTAAACTTTACAAATAATAATAATGATAGTAATAATATTAATTTTGTATTACAAACATTTTTGTAAAACTTGTGAGATGTTTTATTTCTCAAGAAAAAATCAATATCAAGTTTCTAAGGTAGATTCAGATTTTATTCAGGTTTCAATTGTGATGTAGATTTTTTTCTTTAAAAGACCAGATTTTAGATAAAAAAATATTTTAGTACTTTATTAATAATACATAAAACATATTATTTTGCGTTCAGAACAAAATTGGATATAAAACTTTACTTCAAGTTTTAAATATGATTTATTTACTTTATATCAAGAAGTTATTATAAATAAGTATTTTTTTAAATTGCTAATGTATTACAATAATACAGTTGTTAGATACAAATTTATTTATCGTTTAAGGAATTTTTAGAATGCACTTTACATAATCTTTAAAGTCACTTTTGCTTATCAGGCCACTTAAAATACTTGAATTTACATTTTTTTCTACAAACTAATCGTCATTGTCTTCGATTTTCATAAAGTCAGTCTGAAACTAGTTTTTAGTCGTAACAGATCACTTCTAATAATAAAAATAAAATAAATTAATAATTATTTACAATGTTATTTATATAAGTGCAAAGACTTTTGTTCTAAGTTTTTATTTTTTTTATTAAAATGTGTGTTTCAAAAGCAGTAGGAATTTTAGGGTTTCTGGCCCTAGTTTTGGCCATCTCGACAATTACTTTAGCAGTTTTGTATTTTACTCAATTTGAAAATAAACCTGGATCTATACCTAAGGTGAGGTTAAATTTTGATTCAAGTAAATTTATAGGTAGAGTTATACGTCAAACATGGAATCTATTTGACCCATACAAAAAAAAAATAATTCTGGCTATAAATTATCGAATACCGAGTTATAATGTTAGACAAATGTGTAGATAATTTAATTCTAAACAAATTTGACTAATATACTATTTATATTAGAAAAATATTTTGTGAATTAATGTGATTAATTTTGTGAATAAATGTCCGACTCGTCGATTATACATATTTTGTATTAGAGAATGGTTGTCATTTTCTGAGTTAAATTTTGAGTATACCGAGTTGCTGTAGGGTCTTATAATGTTAGAAAAATTTATAAACCATTTATTTTTCTATAAATTTGTCGAATACACTATTTATATTAGGCAAATATTTTAAAAGTTACAAATAAATTCACTACCATAAGTATTTACTTACTTAAAGAAAAATTTAATTATTATGACCTGAAATATTTATTATTATTGATTATGATTAAATTAAAATTTTTACCAGGCGTTATAAATAAATTTAATATTTTTTATTATATAATTTTGTATTTTTTTAATATTAAACTTGAAGTAACTCCTAATATAATACAGACTATTTTATCTCAATAAACAAAGTATTAACTTCTTAATTTTAATCTCAGATAAGATTTGAGAAAAAAACAGGTTTTATTACTTTAGCAATAAATTAAAACTGTGACAAGCAAAAATAAGTGATCGAATTAAATTGATTGATTATTAAATTTTAGTTCTACATCAGTACTGATGTAACGGACACATCTTTTAATTTTATTAAAAATTTATCAATAAAAATAATATTTAAGGAATGTGTTATAGTGTTTAATAAACTACATGGATGTTATTATTTTCTAATATCTTTTGCAATTTTTTTGTGGTATAAAAAGTGTCCAAAAAATGGTTTCGAAAGTGACTTTGCTGTTGGGTTTTTTGGTCGTGGGTTTGGCTATATCGACAATTACTTTGTCGGTTTTGTATTCTGATGAAATTAATAATGATGATGATGAAAGTACTGCTAAACCGACTGATAAACCTACAGATAAACCGACAGATAAACCGACAGATAAACCGACAGATAAACCGACAGATAAACCGACAGATAAACCGACAGATAAACCTACAGATAAACCTACAGATAAACCTACAGATAAACCTACAGATAAACCGACAAATAAACCGACTACGACGAATGAACCGATACAAACCACAGAAGATCCTGGTACTGGGGTAGTAAGTAATTTTGCATTTACCAATTTTCAGTTGCGATTTTAAAGTATACCGAGTTGCTGTAGGGCATTATGATGTTAGAAAATATTTTAGATTATTCAATTTTGAACAATTTTCTAGAATATTGTATTTATATCAAACAATTATTTTAAAAGTTACAAGATTTATAATAAATGAATGCACGAATGAATTGTGCGGAAGAAGAGTGCGAGTGAAACGTCTAACATTGTTTCCTTAAATTATTTATAACTTTTAAACTATTCGTAGTACATCGACAGTATATTTGGCAAATTTGAAGTAAATTAAATAATTTACAATATTTTATAACATTATATTACCCTAGAGCAACTCTGTATATTTTTAAATAATTATTGAACATTGCAAAATTGTTAAGCGGATATAATATTTATTTAGTACAAGTACATTTTTTCATTGAATTATTTATAACTTGTAACGAACCATTTGTATATATCAACAGCATATTGGGCACATTCGAAGTAAATTAAATAATCTACAATATTTTCTAACATCGTAATAAATAAAGCATTTTTTTTTAAACGATTTTACGTATATTCAAACGATATCACCCGTTTTTAGCAGGATTTTATACGCTTTAGCACGATTTTACACGCTTTAATACGTTTTTTTTACATTTTAACACGCTTTTGCACACTTTAACACGCTTTAGCACGTTTTTCTACATTTTAACACGTTTTTTTTACATTTTAATACGTTTTTTCTCACACGATAAACCGATTTTACACTATTTTATACTATTTTATTACGATTTTTCATGCTTTGATACAATTCAATACACTTTGATACAGTTAACAGGAATTTTACTCATTTTAGCACGCTTTAGCACACTTTAACACGCTTTAGCACGTTTTTCTACATTTTAACATGTTTTTTATTACATTTTAACACGCTTTTGCACACATTAACACGCTTTTGCACACTTTAACACACTTTAACTCGCTTCTACTTACACTTTAACACGTTTTTTCTTACACGTTAACACGTTTTTGCACTCTTTTATACTATTTTATTACGATTTTTATGCTTTGATACAATTTAATACACTTTGATATAGTTAACAGGAATTTTACTCATTTTAGCACGCTTTAGCACGTTTTTCTACATTTTAACACGATTTTTTACATTTTAACACGCTTTTGCACACTTTGACACGCTTTAGCACGTTCTTTTACATTTTAACACGCTTTTGCACACTTTAACACGCTTCTACTTACACTTTAATACGTTTTTGCACTCTTTTATACTATTTTATCACGATTTTTTATGCTTTGATACAATTTAATACACTTTGATACAGTTTATACACGTTGATACAGTTTATACACGTTGATACAGTTTATACACGTTGATACAGTTTATACACGTTGATACAGTTTTACACACTTTTTTGTACACTTTTCGTTAAATTTTTTATAACTTTTAAACTATTCGTAGTACATCAACAGTATATTTGGCAAATTTGAAGTAAATTATATAATTTACAATATTGTCTAACATAATATTAACCTAGAGCAACTTGGTATATTTTAAAATAATTATTGAAAATTAAATTATAAAATATGTTTGCTAATAAGCAACACTTCTATATATTTTCCTTATAAATTTTAAACCATTCGATTATTATGTGGGGGTCTAATTAAAATTTAATATAAAATTTGGACTTTGAGCTAAATAATAAAAATAATAAAAATATATAATATATACAATAATCTAAATAATAAATAATGCGATATATAATATAAAGCTGGATATTAGTACAAATATTAAACCAAGACTTTTGCTTATTATTTTTTATTTTAAAAATAAATTGTATAAAATGTGTTATTTTTTATTGTACCCAAAATTTATATAATTTTGATTTTTTTATTTTTTCAGATAGATTACAGGCTTCCAGAAGGAGTAAAACCTGTTCATTACGACCTGCTCCTGACTCCTGATTTAAAAACTGGTAAATTTTCAGGACATGTCGGAATTGATGTCCAGGTCAAGGCCAAAAGGAACGATTTGGTCCTTCATGGAAAAGATTTAAGGGTAATAATGAAATTTTATCTAATTTATAATAACAAAACTAAATCCATCAACTTTGTGGTGCTAAAATTTCCAATAACTTATGAAAACTGATACAAGTACATTATTTCGTTGAATTATTTATAACTTTTAAACTATTCGTAGTACATCAACAGTATATTTGGCAAATTTGAAGTAAATTAAATAATCTACAATATTTTATAACATCGTAGTAAATAAAGCACTTTTTTTAAAACGATTTTACACGCTTAGCAGGATTTTACACGCTTTAGCACACTTTAACACGCTTTAGCACGTTTTGTTACATTTTAACACGCTTTTGCACACTTTAACACACTTTAACATGTTTTTTCTCACACGTTAACACGCTTTTGCACACTTTAACACGTTTTTTCTCACACGTTAAACCGATTTTGCACTCTTTTATACTATTTTATCACGATTTTTTATGCTTTGATGCAGTAATAAATAAAGCACTTTTTTTAAAAAACCGTTTTTTTAGCAGATTTTACACGCTCTAGCACGATTTTACACGCTTTAACAGGAA